ATGTTTTGTATTTAAATTATCATAATAGTTCTTCTACTCTGCAAAAAGGAGTCTATGGGCTTTTTTATTTCAAACTGAATTCCAAAATCAAAAAAACCACACCAATTTCTTCCGAATCAAACTTTTCTCGCTTGATACTACGTAGTCTCACTAAAAACCCTTAGTCCCCCCTAGTCCTGCAAAGTCCCCCTTAGTCCCCCCCACAAAAAGCTTAGTCCCCGCTTAGTCCCTTGTGCAGGGGACTAAAGCCTATAGTACACAAAACCACAAGCACACCCTCACCCTCAGTGGCGCGCCCACACCCGCACCATGGGTGTGGGTGTGTGTGTGGGTCCCAGACCAACACCCACACCCTCAGTCACCCTCCTCTCTCACTCCTAGACTCACGTTTCAGTTTGAAATCAAGTATTATTTTTATTTGATAAATTCAGACTGAAATTAAATAGCCCATAGTATGGCAAAAAGAGTCTTTTGGGTTAATGTTCAATATCTTCGATTTTCATTGAGTTCATGAAGATTCAAACAGTTTTCTAAGGTGTTTCCACACCACTTAAAACTTCTATGAGAAGTTGTTGAATACGCTACTATCTTAGCTTATTAAAAATGAAAATTGAGTCTTTCACCACTATGCTTCTTGACGAAATTTAAGCATTATAAAAGTCACTCTGTTTGATACAGTTTGCGGTAGAACTATTTTTGCATGTTATAGCTACTTTAATGAAGACTATCGATCCCATATGCTGAACATTCTCAATCGGAGCTTACTTCAAGAACATCTTCTAGTGATTAAAGTGCCTCACTTCCATGTTATGTCGTTTTTGTTGTTTGTAACTACTTTTAATATTCAATTTTAATTTTATTTCTAGTATAATAATGTTGAAAACCAAATATACTTACATGATAAGTGGTACTGGAGTGTGCAAGTTTTGTTTTGTATGCTTGCAATCAGTTTTGCTTCGTATTTATCGTTGACGAAATTACTTGGTTTTTTCCCCAGCGATGGATGTTTATGTAAATCAATGAAGCATGACATTTTCATCAGGTAGGTAGTTATTTTTCATGATTGCATTCTTCACCATATATATTTCGTTCTTTCAATGTTTTTTCTCTTTTTTTTTGTCTTTCTTCACGTTTCGTGTTGTTACGATGAGAAAGTATACACTGATATTTGTGTATTCGAATGCATTACACTTGTATTTCGAAATATATTTCCCATGAGTAAACAAAACAATAGTTAATGAATGATTTTGTTTTAATTTTAATCGATGAAAATATATGTAAAAATGAATAATAGAGTCATCGACATCGTTTTAAAAATATTTGAGACATTTCGTGAGCTCCGTTCACATCATCAGCCAAAGAACAATTTATAAAACCAGTCGGAAAATATCAATAGCAAAAAAAATTAACACCAAGTCATTGAACCGAAAGAATAACTCATTATATTCGATTTCGTTATAAATATTTAGTAACTGTTTGTATAAGTTATTTTTTTGAACTGATGATCTGAACGGAGTTTACGAACGGTCTCCAACATGATTACAATGATGTCTATGATTCTATCATTCATTACATTACAGAGTGTGAAAGTGTAGACAACAGTCTTTTGTTTATGTTACATCGGATATCTGTCGAACCCAGCAGTTTTTTACAATGTCTCTTACTATCTAAGTGGAAACAATTTATACCTCATCGTTATGCTCATTTGGTGACAAGACCAAAGCTCTTTTAAATGTTTTTGCTTTGTTGACGTCTTTTGGTTCGTGTTAATATTGAAAAATAGATGTTTTACGTTACGCATGCAGCTTGACTTCCTTAAGTTGGATAGATCGTCTTGAATTATATGATAGTCTGAAGTTATAGATCTTTAATCTATATATGTATCTTAAAGTCTTTTTGAAATGTCGATTTCTAGATCGTAGATATGTCGCTATATTCTATCACCGTTAATGAAACATACGACAAAGATATGAGAAGAATAAAGAATAATCTACGAAATGAACAAAAAATAAAATAAATAAATATTATTCACTTTTATCCAACAGAACGAATACTCTTGTTTCTATTGATATATATCTCTTATGTGAATCCGGTGACAAATAGAAGTGACTCGTGCACGTCTAAAATTAGTTTATTTATTTTCACTTTCACATATATATAAACATTTCTAATGTGAAAAGAGGATTGATGACATGGGCATTTTGAGTATTCCATTACCCTCACTCTAACTAAAGTGATGGTTTCTTATATTTACTTTTTTTTTATATCGATGAACTATGAAGTTGAACTTGTTTGGAGCGATGTATAGACGAAAGAGTTCATCTTTTCTTTTCTGTAGTAAAAATAAAAAAATAACATCATCATTCAAGTATACGCTGGATGTCTTTACGAATATGAAAGTTTATCGAACGAAAAAAGTTATTGATGACTGCATGATTATATTGAATTTTTTCCTGCAATTGCAGATATCAAAAGCAAGAGAACTTCTATGACAGTTGCCTTTTTTTCTTTCATATTTATATATACATATATTTCAGTGAGTAAAATCAATATGTAGGTAGAATATGTACAGACATGGATACTGAAAAAAAAGGCAAGATTAGTTTTTTTTCTTTCTTTTTGCCTGATTGCATCTCATCAAGATCATTTTCTCATTATCTGTCTTTCTGTTTTGTAACGAATCGATTAATGACGGTAGAGAACAAATTGTCAAGAGATGGAAAAAAGATATTCTTGGTACTTCTAGGCTTAAAAAAGAGAAAGTTCGCAACTCGATTGCTTGGTTGTTAGTTGATGATACATTGATGATGATGCAGCTGATCTGGTTATATCTCTAAATAAACACAATCGATAGGTTTCATATTTCAATCAGTTTATGCTACTCGCCGAAAACGAAAACGTCTGTAGAGTTGAACCTAAAACGAAGTTCATACTGAGCAGTCTCTACTAAATGGTCAAGATGAACTGAAAAAAAAATTTGACGATTATCCAGAAATCAGCAACAAAAGTCATATGATAGACAATCCATCTATTTTGATTGATTTCTGAAGGAATAATGCGTCAACGAAAATTTCTATCAAGTCGAAGAACAGTGGTCAATATGGAATATCGATATATGAAATGTATTATCATGTCTAAGCAAAGAACTCTAAATGCGAGATAATATGAGACACCATTAGATATATGTAGAACGTCATTTGTTAACATATGCGAAACTACCACAAACATTCATTCTTGGATGAAGAATGATCGGTTTTCTATTGAGAAAATCTTCATATATTATTCGAACTTTAAAGTATTGGAAATTGTCCTAGAGAATAATGTCATTCAGATAGTTAAGTATACCGGGTGGCGGTGTGGATGTTTGCAAAAAGAAGACTCACATCCACCCACACCTTTCGATTGAATCATGCATCATAACGGAAATTTCAATTTAGAACAGGTGTGCAGCACTTTGCAAAATGAATAGTTGGCTGTGGGTGTGGGGGTTTAAAAGAAGACAACACCCACACCCTGTCAAGTTCTCTATAAGACCAAATCATTTTTCTAGTTCAAGGTTATCATGCAAAATCAAGATCTAGTTCTTGGTCTATAATAGCCAATTAAGATATTTATTGCCTTTACTTGTCTTTTTGTAGTGGAGAAAAACTTGACTTTTCATCGCTACGTCATTATCATTTTATGGATGGTTTATGACAACCAGTTTCAATGAAGAAAAGGTTACCGATCACAAAATAGGTCACTATATATCGAACTTTGTCAGAAATTGGTCATAAGATATGGCTAAAAATGCACTATTTGCGAGCTCTTGAATATGTAAACATGGTGTTCAAATGTGACTTACATTGAAAACTACTGTCTATTTTTTAGACGGATTTCTGTAGAAAGTAGGTTATATCCTTACCATTAGTTCTAAGAATCATTTGAGATAAAATACAACAAATTCAATCAAGATGAAAATTTATTTTAGAAAGATTTTTTGCAAATTTAACATAAAAAAACAATAGTATCAGTTTATTGTATTTCACGATTGCCTGTTAAAAAATCATCCACTTTGTGATCTTTTAATTGTGGTCTAGCTTCATACGTTGTAATGACTACTTCAGATTTTACTTCCTATACATGAAAAAAATCATACAGAATCATATTGAAATATAACATTCACTTACACCAAGATATTCACCACGAAGACCAATATAAAAAATACGAGTTGTTTCATCACCGAAATTCGAAGGAAAATATAAAGATAAATGTGTTACACGTGAAAAATGTGATGGATTAAAATAGATATTTGATTAAAAATTTTTTCAAAAAATCAAGATATTTACTTGACTTGATAAGCTAATGTACCGAATGGATCATATGTAAGTGAAATTTCTTGATGAGCTTTTCCATGTGCATTATCAAAACGTAATTCAGGTAAATTACTCCATCTATTCATATGTATATATATATAAATCATAACTCCTACTTTATTGAAATAATTTATCCACATACAATTTAACTGTATTCGGATGTGATGGACCATTTTCACCAATAACACATAGACCAGTTATTTTCACAGCACCATTAAATGGTATACTGAAAAGTAATTCTTGTTCATCATCACTTTCAACTACCTTTCAAAAAAAAACACGTATTCATAGTATTTTATTTGAATAAATCAAATACAAAATATACTTTTGATTGATCAAGTTGTTCTTCCCATGCTCGAAATACATCTTTACCTGAATCATCATGTTTTTCATTATAACATTGTAAATTATATTTATCAATTTTTGTATATAAATTCCATTGGCCAACATTGGTTTCATCAACATGTTGGCATGTATGTGAACATGAATGTTGCATAATTTATCTGAATACAATAAAGAAAAATAATTCCTTTTTTTCTTGTTATATTTTCTATGGAACGATTTATTTTATATCATCAAGAAAAGAAATTACATAATGCACAAATGAACAAAACCACAACAACAACATTATTCTATGTATGTCCTTTATGTTTTTTTTTGATGAAGTAATATACTATTTTCATGTCGTCGTCGTTTAGTCATTGGATTTCTTGGATCATAAACAGTTAATAATTCAGCATTTGTATAAATATCTTGAACATTATCTAATAATTCTTGAGATACAAAAGTATGTTTTAAAAATGGTGTTTGAACTTTGTCAGCTATTTGTTCTGATTGTGTTACATTTAAAGGTTCACTAGTTTGTTCATCGTTAGCAGTATGAACTTTTACACGAAATCTTTCTAATAAATCAAGTGTCTAAAAATTAAATTTGAATATTTTATTCAGTACAAAAATAACTGATGAACAAACTTGAGATTCTCTTGAATTTGAATGACTACTATGATTTTTTTTATTGTTTCGTCTTGTACCTGTCATTAATTCATCCATTAATGTAGTAGTACTTGAGGTAACTGGTTGAATAGATGAGGGTGCAGCTAAATTTGAAATAGACTCATAAAATATGATTGTCAGTTAAAAATAGGATGAATATTCTCATGCATCCTTGAAATATGAAATAGATCTTCGTAAGACCGAAAAAAAGTTCAATACTTTCGAATGGATTTATCCATTCAAGCTGGAATTCTTAGGATATACTAAATATCATTAAACAATACTTACGTTCTGTTTCTACTTGAACGACATTTTCTGATGATTTGGGTGTGGATGCTGATGATGACTTTTTTGTTTATTTTAATTCTTTTTTTAATCGTTCAATTTCAAGTTTAACATTTTCATTTCTATCAAAAAAAAAAGACAATACTAAATCAATCAAAGCATTTTTGTTGTATTTTATATTTACGATTTTGTTGTTGAAATATCTTTTTGATTATCATCATCATCATCATCAATATCAAGTTGAAGTGTTTTTTTCTTTCCTTGTTGAGCTAATTTTTTTGCATTAAATTTTTGTCGTACTCGATCA